TCGAAATCTCGTATGAAAAATGTAAAGAAACCATGGATTTCAAAAGAGTAATGGAGACGACCGAGTTGTGGTCATGAAAAGATCAACAAAACTGAGCGAACAAAATCGGATGGAGTGAAACGTTGAGAGCTGAAAACTAGGAAAATGATGAAGGCAGTGTTAAAGAGCAGTTTGGTAGAAATATGAATGTAACAGATATACAGGCGACTGCACCTTCATAATATATACAGTATGGTAAAACTGATTTCATTGCATCGTACAGCTGTTCCTCCTTCTAGGACTCGTCAGAAAGTTGGAAATCCAAATTGTCTAAATTATACTGCTGAAACAGAAGGGACAGGTGCGTAAATCACCTTAATCTATGAATGTCAAAGTTCAGAGGAGTACAATTCAAAAGAGATAGCTGTGGCCATTAAGGTAACCGCAAATCTCAGGGACTAAAAACTCCATCAACAGGGGCTACTACCCTGTGGCCTGAAAGACGAACGGAACACACAAATAGGTCAATAATTTGAAGAATGGACATCTTGCTAAACAGACGATATTGAGAAATTACTGAAAGTAGATCGAAGCCAGATTCTTGGGGAAATTAGAATTAGAGTTAAACACTGGATGAAGTAAGGAAAGTGGGAGAGGAACTGACTGGATTTCTGAAGGGATGCTTTTTTAGCAAATTTTCATTCTCCGGAACATCAATTTGCAATTAGTCGAATGAACTTAGAAAAGTCGTTTTTAGACATATAGACAGCTTTCAGACAATCACAAAGGGGAATGGGTGTACTTTCAAACTTTTTAGAGTCGTGAAATCATTTTATAAAGATAATTATTTTGCTTTAAAGAAGATTGAGAAGACAGTCTGTGATTCAATGTAAAGAGTAGTCAAACAAGGATGTGTAATATCAGGATTATCTCAGTTATCATCTGGAACATGAGGAGATCCATACAAGGCAAGAACTAGAAGGTCAAGTCTAAATGATCCAACTTTGCGGATGTGATTTCATTTCTTTCCTCAATGCACAAGTATCGTCAACGTGACACAAACAACTAGAAAGAAAATGTATCCAGAAATGCCCTGAGATAAACTCTCAAAAATACTGCGCGTCAATGGCAACACGGGGAACAACGTAACTATATAGAAGTGTTTGCATACCTGAATGGTACTGTTATCAGGTACAAGCAAACAAAACTAAGGGTGCCTTCAGTTGAGATAAACATTGACTGCTGTACCTATTGCAACGCTTTAATCTTTGTTATTTATTCTTTTCTGGGCACATACACACACACACACACACACAGATGGGAATTAGTATTCTTGTGGTTTATTTATATTCGTTCTTATCATGGGAATGCTTGGACAATGGAAGTTATCAATAACAGAGATTACACAATCAATAACGCAAATGTTCACCATTAGCATAAATGTACGTTCGGCATCGACGCCTCGATAAATTCACCATGTTGCAGAAGACTGCCTGATGGGTGGCCTTTCAGTCGTACACTTATGTTGGAGTATCAGTGATAGCTTTTGAAACGACGTCAACTAAATGTTATCTCGTCCCACGTATGCTCTTTAAAAAGTAGGTCAAAAGAAACGGCATATCATGGAAGAACGCGCACGTGAGCTTTGTGATGACGGTGCAAACGACGGGTTACCAAGCGCGGCATCATAATGCAACAACACATAATTCTTTCCCCACCCTGTGAGCGGCGTTGAATCTCTTTCCAATATGAAAGTAATCCCCCTGACGACCATCACTACTCACCAAATTAAACCTGAAGCCGCCTGTGAACAGGAAATCGGACCTTCCCTTAAGTAGGTAACTGCGGCACCTTGTTGTCGTCGCTTCATTGTAACGTGGTCCTAAACCAGGACGAACTAGGACCAAAACCGCGCTGCGGTCGGATGCTGTTCGTACGCGAATGGCATCGCATGGTTAATGCAATGATTAACCCGAGTCAAGGAAGACTTCAAGCAATCAAATCTGACCTTTGAAAACAGAAGGCAATTGAACTTATGTGGTGTCCTTTTTGTCGGGATGTCAGACGCTGTTGGCCGGTCTGGGGTATAAACATTGTGTTCGAATCGAGTCCATTAAGACTTACTAAACTGAACAAAACGTGTTATGTGGCGATGCTTTCGGTCATTCACGCTTGGAGCAACTTAACATACGCTGGTGCTGAAACTTAGAATTTGCCAAACGGTTGATGTTCCATAGAGTAAATGTCACCTTAATAAATATCTTTGCATGAAGGAAATGCAGACATCTGCTACCAGGAATGCAGAGTTGAAACTATTACCGTCGAAAACAAATTGTACATAATTATATATTATGAGCCGCCGGCTGGGATTAGGGTCCTTAAGTAGTAAGAAATCAATTTTGTGATTTTTATGATTTTGAAATCTAGAGACATTTCTGATCAAAATGATATAAAAAAACATGTCAGTCCGTCAATATTTGATGATTTGACGCCACTTTAAAGATACGTCATACATAGAAGTAGGCTATATGACTTCTGACGTGGCTTACAACGTCATTGTTTCTAACGTTACTTTTAAGATTGATACCGGCGGGTAACATATGTATATTAATTTTAACTGCTTATGTCTGGCTTCACTCCAGAAGTTTAAGCATGATTGTAAAGGGAAATTCCAGAGCATTTAAATGGAAATAATTGAATATGTTATTAAGTCATACAGTTATACTGAAATGTAAAACAAATAGGCTTATATCGATGACCATGGTACAAATAATATTTCTGTACTTTTGAACTTTGTAGACTAACATCTCTACCGTTTTCTTCCGGTTATAGCTGTGACAAAAATATGTTTACAACATCAACTTGAATCAGTATTCACAAATCTATACCACATTGTAATGACCATGACATACATGAGTGCGAGTTTTGGAATGACCGTACATGAAATAAAGTGGTGCGAGTTTTGACGTTGCAAGCGTGGTCACTGTCTTTTACGTCGCCACTTTGAATGTGAGTCATGCCCAGCTCAACGAGTTTTTAATGTATTAAAGAGATTATATCTAAAAGTGCAACGAAGATAAAAAAAATCANGGGGGGGGGGGGGGGGGATTATTGGAGGGAACTGGGTACCCAGAGAAAACCAACGTGATCGGGCAGGTGACCCCATATCTGTTCACGTACGTCCGATTGAGGAATTGAACCCGGCCGCCTTGGTGAAAGGCAAGTGCGCTACCACTTTACCACCCAACCACTCAGTACAGTACATTCTATTTTAGTTGAAAATACTGGTATACTTAGCCTCAGATTTTCCCCATGTAAATATTTAAGGTTGATGAGGTCACTTGTTCTAGCATTTGAATGAAAAACTTCAAAATCTTACTGTTTTAATTTAGTGATTGTTTTTCTCAAATATTTGTTAAACATCATTTTCAGAAAACAAAACAGGCATTTTAGTTAAGGCACAGAAAATGTTATTCCTATATTCAATACTAGTTTTTTTTGTAGATAATAAACAACAAGTTATGTTTTGTTCATTTTCCCATCATTTTATTGGCCAAGGAAAATTTCAATACTCATATCACATCACTACACATTTTGGACTCACTTCCTACATCAAGTAAACAGTTTGACATGATGAAAACCCTAGAAAACTTGTACAGCCACAGAAAGACCGTCCTGAGGCCAGTACAAATGGACTGATTAGTCACTGAAATGCACTATTAGTAGATTTCAAACACAGTATGTCATCATTCCTTTGTGTGGATAGATTACCAATATGAGCTTAATTACATCTAGTGTAGGCAGAGAAATTCCCTGGCTTTTATCACCACTTTCTAGAAGACCTTCAATAATGACTTTCCCTCTCATAACAAGTCTCACATCACTCTACTCCCGCCAAGTGCAGATTTCACCTTTAGTTCCCCTAAAATGAACATTTAATATACATATCAACAGAAAGTATATGCATTAAAAACCAATTTATATATACCTGGTACATACAAGGTTTGGTCATCATCTATGCAACACAATATATAAAAACTTACAGCTATATTGTGAAGTAAAACAGTTTTATAAACAAAATGCATTTTAAACACATTCATTGGACGTGAAAAACAACATTGTACAATCAGAAACGATTGATTTCAGGGGGCTAAATTATTAGATCTATGTGTCTGGTAAAGGGACTGATTTCTATGCTTTTTTTAACTGCTACATTTTTAACTGTCACTGTAGGAATACTTTTTTCCATGTGTTGTAAAGCAATTTTGAAAATAGTAAAGGGCGCTATATAGATGTTGCATATTATTATATTATAATTAATTTGATACGTTATACATGTGTACTTTGCATGCAGTGAACATTTTATCATTGTTGTTTACGAGTGTTATTAATAGAGTACATGCCCACCCTAACTCATACACAATACCGGATATACGCGTCCTTCTACACTTACACGTGTTATAATATATCTCTTCGAAACTAGTTTGTGATTCAAATGATTATGTTTGTGTCAATAATAGTCTAACGGAGGCCAATTATCGCGGCAGGACTTTGTTGATCAAATATTGTGTGGGAAGTTAAATTGTTTGGCACACACAGGTATTCAAGCTAGTTATCTATATAATCGATACGTTAAAACTACGATCTCCAGTTTTGGGACAGAGTATACTCCAAACGACCATAAAACCAGGTTTGAATTGGTTTTTGTTCTATTAATTTATAGTTTGAATTATCCCTCCGGAAATGTTTGGTTAACATTTTAAGACAAATGTAATTTTACTTAAAAGTATTTAAAACGACAATAGTATTGGCAATTGTACTCAACAGGTATTTTCAAATAACATTTGAAATGAGAGTCTGCAAGTTTTAAATTCTTGCCATGTCGAGTTCCTTTAACACTAGAAATAATTTATGACTAACAATGTACAATGTACTCCAATATCGGGTGTTTACAGGACAGCTTTACCCATCGATCGGCGTGGCACCTGACCTCGTTAACTGAATGCTTTTCCAACCGAGGCAATTTACACTATTAATAACTTCGTGTGCCTCGCCCTTCAATAAACCGCCGCGAGACGTGAAAAATAGCCCCCTTGATTGGCTGAAAGGGCAGCTAGCTATCTGGTGTTCATTTTACGGTACCGAGGTTTGTTGACAAACAAAGACTGGAGCGCTGAATCTTTGTCTACAGCAGGTACAACGACCAAGATATAAAACGAGTAAGTATTGCATGGAAAAGTAAAAGTATACATATGTTACATATAAAATAACAATAAATAGACTAATCAATGTTAGCTAAGCTGGAATGGCTAGCCGTTAACACTTTGTCGACCACCACTTGTAGTACACACTAGTTTGAGCCAGCACACTGGCCGGAAGAGGAATGATTGATTATAATGATACTGCCGTCGTGGCTTTATCTTATGTGGTACAATGTACTAGAACAAGTAGTCGTGCCTACACCATGTAGTGTGTATGACTGGTCATGCTTGGTTTGCCGGATAATGTGTTTTTGTGGCCATGCAACATTTGTAAAGTAATACAAAATGTCACTGTAAACCATATTTGCTTAGTTAAATAGTTTATAATCTTGTTAGTTCGTCGATGTTCTCATAAAATATAATGATAATACTTTTTTTACACTGAATAAATCAAAAAGTACAAAATCACATTTATGATTTGGTACCATATCGCACTTATGCTGGTTCTGTGGAATCATAAGACTCCGACTTAATGCATGGTAATCGTGTAGTTTGATAAATAGTTTTAACATTTCTCATACATGTATTTATATTATTGTAATGATATTCAAATAATTAAATGAGCCTAGAAAACACAATTTACATGTTGTTTTACACGCTGAAGATTGTTCAAAAGCTAAGCATTGCCAAGATCTCTGACCTCTATTGTGATAGACGTGTACATACTAGAACTTCTTGTGATTGAACAGACAAACACATGTACATCGTACATCAATAAATAAACACCATAAATCACAACTAGTCGAGGTTTACCTCAAATAAACGAACCATAACATGTAGTCAGGCAACCTGGAATATATCATTACCAATACGCACATCAATATTTATACAAGGCCCTATTTGATTAAACAATGATAACGGTTGCTATACACATTGTACAATGTATATACATATATAAAATCCAATTCCCACAATTGACGATGTTTTGTAATCTTAACAGCATTAGTTTAAACATACCTGCATTCATAACATCATTACGCCATTAATGTAAGTATATCATGTACTATAAATACGAGATAAAAAACAGCTATTTAATGATTTTGTTAGTCAATGCAGAAAGTTAATCAATGTCAAAAGATTACTACACCAAGCTTATACCAAAAACAGTTAAGTTTAAGTACACGTGCATTTGCAACACCATTGGTATTAGTAAACTCTATGCAAAACCTTATTAGTTTAAGCATACCTGTATCAAAAATCATAAACGAAACACAATCACCCCGTTTTCACTGTTATATATTATATATTATAATATGTGTTGCTTTCATGTTTAACTGCTGATAGTTAATTTTGTCGTGACATTTGTCTTAAATTAACGTGCTTTATTTGATGCAATGTATTGAATGAAAGCATATCGTATGTTCCTTTCAGATAACAGAAAAAAATATCGAAATGGCGGAAGTGAGAGTGAAATTCAACGTTGCTATGGTGATAGCGTTGATCATCGCCGAGATTTTCAGCTTAATGTGGTATACCCATTACTCTCCTTGGTTCAACCACATGGGTCATAGGTACCTGATCCCCGCTCTCCTGTGTGACTGTATCATTGTCTACGTCCTCAAATATATCAAAGAGTAAGTATAGGCACATAAACATGACACCGTATATAACGAACCATGACCAAGTATATAACGAACCATGACACAGTATACAACGAACCAACACACAGTATATAACGAACCATGACAAAGTATATAACGAACCATGACACAGTATATAACGACCAATGACACAGTATATAACGAAACATGACACAGTATATAACGAACCATGACACAGTATATAACGAACCATGACACAGTGTATAACGAAAAATGACACAGTATATAACGAACCATGATATATTATATAACGAACCATGATATATCATAAAATGGCCCATGGCACAGTATATAACGAACCATGATACAGTATATAACGAACCATGATATATCATATAATGACCCATGGCACAGTATATAACGAACCATGATATATCATATAATGACCCATGACACAGTATATAACGAACCATGATATATTATATAATGACCCATGGCACAGTATATAACAAACCATGATATATTATACAATGACCATTGTCACAGTGTATAACGAACCATGATATATTATATAATGACCATTGTAACAGTATATTAAGGCATAGCCATGACACAGTATATAACGACCAATGATATATTATATAACGACCAATGATATATTATGCAATGACCCATGACACAGTATATTAAGGCATAGCCATGACAGTGACATGTTGCAAACTGAGGTAATGTCAATGATGACTCTATATGAAAGGACAAAGCCGAACACTTGCCAGATGATGAAATATAGGGATTGCAAGACATATGTAAGCGAGAAAAACAATACCTCTTATTAGTGGTTACAGTGTTTCTGTCCTTATTTGCTGTTTTATTAAGGATTATACAAGGTGTTTAATTTAATTATGCTTAGCAATATCATGACATTTGCTGTTTAATTATTAACCAAAAAGCATATGAGAGTTGACTTTCTATATGGTGTCACTAAGCGATGCATATTGCAACACTTTTAAATTACATAGTTGAACAATACATGAAGTAAACCGCTGATATATTTATGTTTTTCTCAATACGTAGACAGTGTTTAAGGTTTACACATGTCATAAACACCATCAACTCCTCACACATGAAACAACATCTTTATATATGGGACGCTTTTTCATGTAGTCATCATATAACATTATAGCTGTAGTTATCACGTATCGCTTCCTCTTTGTGTGTATCTCACGGTTCGTTAAATTTCAATGCATACTTCAAAATGACGGTGACGCCCTTTCTAAACATACCTTAGATTCTAAAATAGCGCATTATACTATAGCATTGTCCTGGCTGTAGATGATACTATTGCACCAATTGCTATTTTTAACCATTCGTATATTTAAATTTCATATTTTCATGTAAACCTGTTTCATTTTATTCAAAGGGCCCATTGGACCTGCCGAGGTTGGGAAGACATGGCAGTATTGAGCTTGTGGGTGGCTCTGTTCTATGCCGGATTACAAGGACCGCACTATGTGTACGATACCTACAGCGCCTCCTACTTCCTTTATCACGTCGCTCACAAGTTTATGTTGTCATTTATCATATTGTTTGTGCTTCATAATTTTAAAAAGTACTAGCAGCCAGCAGGATAAATTTAGTCAAAAATCCACATCATTTGTAGAAGGGATGAAACGTTTGGATGCCATGTTTCCATTAAATGATATTAATAAATTGTGTAGATGCAAATGGTGTGTGCTGTTTTGAATTACTCTCGTAATTCTATCTTGCAAAATGCAAGAAAAATAATATCTCTGTCAACATTTCTTAGGCAACTATTGTCCAGAGTATGTCCATTTTCACATACATGTGTAAACATATTATCATTAGGGGTAGATACTAAGCAAGTTGAACGACTTAAAAACCAAGCTTAACTATGTGTGTGGTCTGTATAAAATACAGTTATCACTGCTAGTAACAGGTTTTATCCAGGCAAGTTTCTTTGAAACGCAAAGTAGGACTACATTAAGTGTTGAAATTGTCCAAAATGTGATAAACGCTCAAGGTAATGTAATTGTTAGGGTTTCGGATTATATGTATTATGTTTTGAATGAGCAGTAACAGAGTTGATAAGGGTTTTAAGATGAACACACACATATAATTCATCTTTGGAAAATAAATATGTACATACACACATACTTGTTAAGTTGACAGCAACATTCATGTCATACACGGTTTGTTTTGAGTACTAATGACTAGATGAACGCAAATCGTAATATTCAAGCTACAAATGGAAAGGTAGCCTCACTCAGCATTATCGTCGTCACCAAAGTGAAGAAGGTAAAGCGTTTTTCCATGTTTTTGTACAAATTCAATCATATTAAAACTCAACCATACAATCCAAAATGAAATAAAGGATGTTATGAAATCACTTATAATAATATTGAGTTACCTACCTCGTTTTGGACAGTTTTAACAGTTTTGTACATATTTGCGTCTCACTTCTATGCAGAATCTAGCCTATTTGATACCAAACCGTGTCAGCTGAGTTTTTTCTGTGGTAGTAGAAATCGAATTGATCTACAAAGCAAGTCTGTAACAGTAACGGTTTATGTCTTGTAAAATACTGCCAAAGTTGTATCACCAATAGACCGTTGAATACGTTATTGTGAATAGAAGTCTAATTGAGAAATATATTTCAGTTTGCGTATCGCTCCCCACTTTTTTCCCACCAAATGTGGTATTGATGGTTGTGATCATGCCTCCGACATCATCGTACATTAAAAGCAATTAGTGTGAAAAATCTGTTATATCGAGCGTGGATAAAAAAAATATACGATTTGCTTAATTCTTTTGATTAAAATGATATTTCGTGTTCCTGTACGTAAATGCTGGTATTCAGTCTCTTTCTGGACATATATACAATCACTTTGCAACCAACCTTGGAAAGATTGCATCATGTGAAAATGCAGATTCAGAATGCTAACATGTAAAATCTTCTGGAATGATATCTGAATTCCTGCCTTATTCTAATGTAATGAAGATTAAATTTCCTACAAAATACAACAGATGTTACAGGGCTTTATACCAACCTAGATTAAGCTGACGTATACTAGATACATTAAGATACAGTATCAATTGTTACAGTAGAAGGGATGTCAATATAACAATGTCAGTATAAAAGCACCGACAATCCATGAGAACAAGGCTTTTCTAAAGCAAAGGTTTCTTGATTCAGGACATTCAATGTATAAATTGGCACATGTTTAAGAAAATGCAAAGGAACACCGGGCACTATGAATTACTTTAAATAGCAACTAAACTCACAAACGACCATTATATAAATATTGTAAATCATGTCGATTGATTTACAATGCTTTACTAGTATATACTACCAAATGTTCATATAGAGACAAAACATAATTTTCAAAGTCACTATTTTCATGTACATGCACAGTCCTACATTTCCAAGGAACATAGAGGATATTTATGTAATGGTATCACATCTGTGATGATAACGGTATACAGATGAATTCTGCCATTCTCGTAAAATAAATACAGATACACAACGCTACAATTAATGTCAATAATATACACGGTGCTTCGGTGTACAGTCAGGCGTATCACCTCTATAAATAAACAGAAAATGTCAAGGTACAAAAGTAAACACTGAACATACTAATTCAATATACACACAGGAAAATCTCAATGTACAAAAGTAAACACACGAATGTACACAGAACATACTAATTCAAAGTGTAGATAGAAATACTCTGATCACATAGGAACTCCATGACCCTCAGAATATGAAATGCACAGATATAACGAATAAAAATCAACATACAAAAACACATACATTTCGATTATAGATGGTGCATAAACATACCACTAGATATGCATGCGAAGATAAAAAAAATATAAGAAGTTTTATATAAGTTGCTATACATATAAACTGGCAGAGAACAGTAGCTCTTGGGAATTATTGTTGCAACAAGCATATGAAGAAAATAACACATCGAAATATCAAATATGAAGGTAAACGACTAGATTGTCTAGTTCTGTTTAAAGTGGATAATTATAATCACATGATTCACACTACATAATTTGATAAATATATAGTATCACAAAATAATTTGTTATATCCCAGGTTTCTAAGTGATCTAGTAATCCAGCCTACAAAATCCGTGAGATCAGACATTTTAGGTAAAAACACTGTTTTACGAATATTTATAAGTGTGCGACACAAGGCGATATGATAACATACCCACAGAATAAATAAGTTTAATACACACATATATACTGTATATATATCAAGTATTTATTCGTATCATCTAGGGGTAGGAGAATGAGGAAATGTTTAAATAAATAAAAATGCAGAATATGATGGTTGTATAATGTATACCTGTGCATGTGTAGATTATTAAGTTATCTCGTGTTAGCATGTATGCTCTGTAAGTTTGTGTGTGTGTGTGTGTGTGTTTCTTTTCATGATTATATGTAATATGAAAAAATCGTCGAAAAATAAACAATTACAAAAAAAAAAAGTGTTAATTTGTACATGTTAAGAAGGTACGTGTGGATTGTTTCGTGAACATATACATATATCGTTATTTTGAACACAATGTATGTTTGAAACATTTGAAACACCTTATGGACAAGCTATTAACGCCTCATTAAACCAAGAAATATTAACCACCGAGGGATCAAAAACGACTCATCCTTTTTAGCACACTAGACAATTAACACACTTAGATCTAGCTTTTCAAAAGCTTTAGAAAAGAAAAAAGAATAGTTATTTGCTGGGTTCAAGTGAGTAGCTTTAAACATCTATTCAAAAGTTTGTTTCATTGTGCCCCGTTTACTTTCAGAAGAAACACTTCTTAGGCCACCGTATTTAAAATAATAACAATAATTAGTTAGTTCTTTTTGTTTGCATTTAATGACATATGGTGCCAGATGTTTTGACATTACATTTAGAAACGTATTGATTGATATAAATTTCACTATAATATGTGACATTATCCAAATAACTTCAGTTTGCATAGCTCCGCTTAAAGGACGTTATAATTAACAAGCGTATAAAACAAAACAAAATTGTATCTTTAGTTGCACATATTTTATCCATACTAGAAACAAATATGGGTTGTGTCATGGAGGCTGCTAGAGGACAAATGGTGATTGGAAATGTACCGCTCCTTACCTTTGTGGTAGAACTTTTCCCGGTATTGTTTTATAAAGGGATAATACGGATGTGGCATCAATAGCAATGAGTCAAACTTTAAACGAAGGTTTCAGATACATTAAGGCCTAAGAAATTGTACAAGATGCATAAGACCAGGTGTTTCAGAAGGGTAAGCGTCTTCTACTTAAACCATCCATGTAAGACTAGGTCACCACCAAGAATATACACGTCCTCAGAGCGAGAACCGGAGTAATGATAACTAAACAACAAGCCGGCCACCCTTGTATGGGCATTATTGAAATATCGAACTTCGTATCACACAAGCAAAATTATTTGTCCAAATGGGATCAGGATGGCGACTATAAAATTTATCCAGAGTCTTCATCAATCTGCATCTTTTGAAACTCTGTATTGTAAGTTTGTCTGTCAGTAGTCGACATCTACCACAGAATTCATGATACTAGGAACACGCCCTTCTTTACCGAATCAGCTGTGACATGTTAACATTGTAGGTTGGGAAAAAGCAGGGGTGTTACTATCAAGAAAGTAAAAGTTCACACAGGACGATGAATCCAGAACGGACATTTGGCGACAAAGAAATTACATATATGTGATACTATGTTCTACATTACAACGTTTATTGTGCAAATTTGCTTATTCCCAATCATTAAGTTGCATGTATTTGTTCATCACCAACCATTACTTACTTAACATTAAATACCCCAATATGTTTAACAGTTGTCCTTGAGATAATCTGTTCATGTAAAACGGGTCCTTCGGATACAATTATGTATATAAATTTATATTAATTGTATACAATATACAATCAGTTGATATTACCACGGAATTAGATGATATATAGGTCCGTGATATCAGGTAGTTGAGAAAAGTTATAATTTAGTTGAAGTCGACAGACATTTCAAGCACTCTTTACATTATATATGTTTGTAGGCATTTCATGTATTATTTATTATTTTATTTTTATGAATGACTAATATGAAAAAATATAGCTAGTAGTCCCATATATATTTCTGTAAGTTATAATAGTAATAAAGTACGCGCGTGCATTGCGGTACAGACCTGTAAATGGATCAACATATGTCAATTACATATACTTGTAAATTATTGCATGAAAAAACAGGGATTGTACATTTGAAAAATGCCACAAGCCAGTAACGATAGTATCAATGGTATCACGTAAACTAAATAGGTACACTGACGTGTACTTTCGCCTTTGTTTACATACCACAGCTAGAAGGATTCTGATTGGTTAGCATTTGTTGGCGGGACGCTAGTGACCTCGATCAGTCGCAAGAAACGTTCGGGCAGCAGATTTTTGAAAAGACACTTCCTCTCTCAGGGTCAAAGGTAAGCTTGATTTATAAAAATCGTTAACATGTACGATTGGTTTGTGTTATAACCAAATTTTAAGTATATTTCACTGATTATAAGGACTCAAAATGGTTCTTATATATATACGATTCCATTGTAGAACTTACACCGCTTAGTCACAATGCAGATAACCACTTGGTCGTGAATAAACACACCGTACACAATGTTTACCTCTGCTGTGAATATGCGTGCAGATAGTATCAAACATGTAGAATAGCTTAGTGGTTACATTTTCAAGTAAACTTTGGATTTGCAAATAATTTTTTATTTAATATTGAATCGGTCCGGTCCACTTCCTTATATATATTCCTGTGAAAACCCTATGTTTATTTTCTGACCGAATAGATTTCTCATGTGCCTGTCCGATCTGTTCGATCTGCATATGTGGTTGATCAGTGTTATATGTTGATTGCTCATGATAAATACGTAACCAAAATGTTTGTGCTCAAGATGTTTCCATATTTACCGTATCCTGTATAATGTTTTCAAAACTTATTAAATCGCTAGCAGTCAAAGGTGATGGCTTAGGTAGCCGTCGTATGTTGTGTGGCTATTTATAGCGTGACCAAATTAAAATTCACTTTATGTGAGACAGGGATACAAGAGTTGCCTCCCTTTGAAAGTTTCACTTTTCCTATATTATCTAATTTAACACGCGGATTAAAAGTCGATCGTACTGTGGATTCCATTCCATTATCTATACCACGTACTTATTCCGTGCCATATCGCTTAATAGTATAATTTAAGATTTATTTTTTTTGTATATAAATATAGTTTTATTTTCAAACTTAGTAAATCACAATCAAGAACCGTCGGCACTTTTGGTAAACGAGAAAATACTTTTATTTTATCATATTCGGAAAAAGCCGACGGCTCCCGATTGACTAAATCGCTCTAATTATGACAAAGATATCCTCACAAAAGAAAATAAATGCTGTCTTAAACACACCTCATGTAACTGAACACCAAAGTGTTTAGAAAGTCGTTCCCCACACCAAAGATAGTTTTGCACACACTGTCAACATTGAAATCTCATCGCATCATTATGTTTAGATATAATGAACTTACAGTGTATAAAGAATATATTTAAATATGGGAATTCTGCAATTTAGGAGCTGAAAAGATCTTAAAATTTGGTGTCTTCATCCTCGTCATCCTTTGTTCTGTCTAGCAGCTGGTACTTGTACAACAGAATGAAGCCGATATCAATGCACCCTGGACACTCCAGAGGTTTTGCTCTCTGCACAGCGAACATAACCCTTGGTGTGTCGAGGATAGTAGCAGTGTAGCAAACAAACAGGATTTTTAACTCGTATTTATATTACATTTTAAACAGAAAATATTTCAAGATGGCGGATCTACATATCCAGTTTAGCATTGCTATGGTGATAGCAGGGATACTAGCGGAAGTTGTGAGCATACTATGGTACAACGACCGGTCGCCATGGGGACACAGAACCGGCGACAGATACCTACTCACCGCCCTCGTCTGTGACGCTCTTCTAGTTGTCCTCTTGAAATTCGTCACAGAGTTAGTTTTTTTTTCATTTTGCTATTCAGCTTTTCTGTTTCAGCTATTTTGAATATCATCTTCAGCCTAAATTATTCCTCGGGTTTATGAAATATTGTAAATATCTCATTGGAAGTAAGCGTTCGTGCTATTCAAGGTCATTCATTAATATACGAATCCATTTCGCCAACATGAATCATGTGACTGAGCATCTTCTAACATTTTAGTATTATAAGAATATAATGCTGGTGCTTCTTCAATAACAGAAGAGCAATGGATTAATTCTGTTACCATCATCACTTTAGTTCTATCGTTCTCGCACCTCAGACAGAGAGTTTCAATCTCGTCCAATCCGTCCGCTACCTTTACGAGACAATTCGCGTGATTTTTACACAGCATTTTATTCTCTCACACGTCAATGGCTCGTAAATGACAATCTGCATTATAATTATTCTTTTATTTCTTTATATGCATTGTTTTGATGTTGTTCGATTCCTGATACTGTAGATAAATTATAATCTAAACTGTGAAATACGTTATCTTCACTATAAGGACGGACTATATTTTTTACGCGGAAACATTCAAATGTAGCTTTAAGAGGCAATATTTGAGTCCCCAGTCGGAACACTTGTATTCTTTAGCGAAATTGAAATTACCTGTTAATGAGCGAGATCGGGATATCTCGGTCTCGGGCTAAGATTATGTAACATCCCTACCTCGGCTTTCGTCTCGATTTGGATTATGTAACAGAATCTTAGCACTCGACTTGCACTAGAAAACCAGATTTTACTCGGTTACATGTCATATATTTTATCAATCATCTGAATGACAAATCGACATCAGGACAGGTGATGAAAATAAATAATGTATAGGTTTTGATAACCATACCTAGTATCTGAGCTAGTGTGGTTCATACATTACAGTTCGTTTATTTCGCTTTGGCGCGAATGAAAGACCGTTTCCGAAATAGTACCAACATCTAAATGCAGAAAGGAACGATAGGAAGAGGGCGAAATGACGTCATTTTGTTTGGGGTCGAATATCGCCTTAGTGTTGGCGTTTTATTTTCGTCTTTTTGCTTTGTTTCGTCTTTTCATTATTTCGCTCTGGGGCTTAGCGCCCTATCGTCGGCGCCAAAGCTAAACATGAAATCTCACAAATGAATCGCCAATCATATCTGGTTCACAATTGACGAATGGAATTAACACATTCCGTTGAACATTTATTATTGATTTAATTTTTAATTTTACAGCCAATTTTACCCAGTCGGACGATGGGAGGACGGCGTTGTGTTGAGCTTGTTCTTTGCCTTGATGTATGCTGCCCTGGAGGCGCCTCATTGTGTCCATAACCACCGTAGTTTCACCTGGTTCTTCTTCAACACCATACACAAATTCCTTGTGTGCTTCGTCATCGTTTTCGCGCTATTCTACTTCCGTTACCTTGGATAAGGTGCCCGGATGACTTTAACCTCTGTGATGATTGTTGAAATCACATATTACTTTTATTAGTAGTCACCCTAGTGTATACGTATACTTACTTTGCATGATTTGTATTGTAATGTTGTTGTTCATTTTCATATCTTCTTTTTTTTTTATCTTTCACAACATTCACTTTAATGTGCCATTTACAAGTCCAATCTACATCAATACGTCTTTATAATGTATTTAATTACTTACATTGTATGTCGCTGTAATTTTCATTTTTTTTTTTTTTTAAATTGCGTTATCAGAATAAGAACAAATATTAACATCAAATTTTCGTAATCAAAGATACATCTATATACATTTTAATTGTAGCCAATTTTATTGTCACGTTCTATTTCATATATAAACGAGATTATATATTCTTCTATGTTATAATTATACAATATAGTGTTTATAATCTTTGTGTAAATTTACAATATATTCTTTATAATCTTTATGTAAACTGACATTTATTACTCAACGTCCTTCTCAGGATTTTTCCATAGTTTAACGTTTAAATAAAAAAAATAACAATGATGAACTTGTTCTTTTTGTTTTGTTCAACCTTGGGCAAAATAACTGGAATGGATGGTCGGAAAATACAGATACGGCTAAGGGTTGGTGGAAATAACACATTTCCATCTTTTCTTTCTGTTATTACTCAATCTATTCATTAAGTTACCGAGATTGTAAATAATTATTATTCATTGAGAAAAATCATTAACAAAAATTTAAAGAAAAAACCCAGCTACGACAAATTCAAATTATAACAAGACGTCAGCAATAACTGACATGGAGGATAGCGTGTGAACTGCCTTTGAATACATTTGAATTAAAGTTACTTGTTTTGGCTGGGGTAAATGTAAATTGATGCAGGAATAGAGAGAAATGACTGGATATTTCGTTTATGATCCCCAAAACTGAAAAACGAGGTAAAGATGGGCTTATGAAAATAATCGCCATTTAAATCAGTTTTCATGATGTAAGAGCCTGTTGAGGAGTCTCTGCGCAGACATTTACGCGAGTTGTTTCCCTTCGACGGTTTCACACAAGAGGCGGCACACGACTTTTAGAATGGGGAATAATGAGATATGATTTACGATAAAAAGTTTAATTTACATATTTCAAACCATAAATCTAATATACTATATACTAATAATTACTCAAATAATGGTCTGTCTGATTACACAATTTCACATATCAGGTTTCACAAAATCTGTGAAAGGAAAATCAGAAATACAAACTTTAAAAAAAAAACTTCTTTGAATTTATGAATCATTATCAATATTATTATGGATGCAGTTTTCAGTTTTAACATCAAATAGCAACGTGGTGAATAGCAATACAAATATTTGTGATTAACGTAATGAAGTAACAAGTTTGTTGATACCTTAATCTTGTGTAACGGAATTTAAATAGTTTGGACTTGGTATTTATCAGCTTAACTGGGGGAACGGTGACCATGAACAAGGAATCGGATATCCCTGAGAATGTGAAGATCTTCTTAGTATAACTCAATAGACAATAGAGAAACATTTCTTGAGGCAGATCGTCCTTTCCCCCTGTCAAATCAACTGATTCGCGCTTCTTGGACCGACGTTGGCACTGATCGCACAACTTCCGAACGGTCCTGGAGACCATACAAGATAAGATGGAACGCGAGAAGCAGACGATAGAGTTCTGTTGTATCACTGGTCTACAACTAGCTTTTTGACCTATGGAGTCTGCAAAGAGTTCATAAAAAACTGGTTTTACGTTTACCTCAATTATATTGTAAACTTCATCTTGTACTGGAGGCTTACTTGAAGGGTGTGAGATGACCAGTCAGCTCAACGCCAAGGTCCTAAAAGCCATATTCCTCCGTCTCCATTCCCTCGTTCGTTTCCTGTTGTATTGGGGATCGGACGGACATTCTGTATTCTTGGTAACCACCACTGTCCAGAGACGTTCACACTGATTTCAACGCTTCTCAGAGATAATTTCGGTGGATTAATAATACTTATACCATCAAATGAGAGAGGAAGGAGGGAAGATTTAAGTAAACAACGACTTATGACTTAATTAGATTTTTTTCTTAAACACAAAAAAAACCCTAATGACTTTTACCATGTTCTATGCCAAAACAATACAATATCTACCGGTAGAAAGAAGTGGGAGGAAATATTTGAATTTAACACAGAGATATGGAAGAAAATCTATACCATTCTCTTCAAAATTAGTAAAAACACAAAACTACAGTGACTTCAATTTAGAATCAATCAACATATTTTAACTACTAATTCATATCTTTATAAAATAGGTCTTGTTGATAGTCCATATTATTTTCATTGTTAAACTGACACAGCACCTATAGTTCATGCATTATGGGAATGTAAAGAAGTACAAGTGTTTTTAAACGATTTTGAATCATTGCTAGATGTGTTATTAATTCCATTTGCTTTTAATAAAGAATCTTATTTCTTGTCCCTCTCTCTCTCTTTATTACTTTTTTTCTTTACTATATCTTCTTCTAAAACAGTACAATGGTACATAACACCTAATATCCTGGTTTCAGCATGTGAAAATAGTCAAACTGTTTGGGTTTTTTTGTTGTTTTTTTTGTATTTGTTTGCTTCTCATCTACAATGCATATACTATTATTCTATGTATCTTGGTTCAAACTTATAAAGAAAATAATTGTTTTTCTGCATTGGTACCCAAATCGATGTAATGATATAAGAATTTAAAAAAAAATGTCAAGACAAACAAAAAACTTGTGTGAAAATTAAGAATGTGAAACTGAAATATGATGTGTTTTGTTTTATTGAAAAAAATAAAAAGATAAAAAAATATTAAAAATATAAAAAAAAAAAGATTTAAACAACGTCCACAATGAAAAATATTTGTGAATAAAGAAGTGCCATACTCACTGTTGAAGTAAAAAAAAGATCAAATGTGAAATGTTCGCGTTTCGACGCTTTAAATGGGATTACGCGGAGGAAATTTTTCGCGTAGTCAATTTCTGAAATATACAAATTTTATATATCCATTCTTATTCAATTCCAAAAAAAGCGAGCATTAATTTTCTACACCGCAAAAGTTTCCATGTTTACACTACAGAAAAATGTATATGGCTTTGACGATATATCCTATAGCTTTATTTAGATTATAATTCGGCTATTTTGTCGTTTTCACGACTGTTTGGCGTTGGTAACCTTGTTTTCGTTTCTGGGCAAGTTCCGCGTACATCCTATATATTAAATGCATAAAAAAAATTCATATTCGCTATTGCCTATTGTCATACCACAAAGGGAACGGCACATTAGTCATCACACTTATGGTACATTTAAAGGGAAGATAATATCTCTCTACGTCACGCAGAAAGATAAGTGGTAAACATCAATCTTCGGCGTCAGCTGACACACGTTAATACAATACACAAAAAGTGACGGGATCAAAACCGCACATAATGTTAATGAATATCACATATAGGATTCTCCACCGTGTACTGATTATGCTTATAAAAAAGGAGTATTCTTCCAACCTCTCATTTTTGTTCTGGAAACTGGAGGCACACAGCCAACTTGACAGAAACAACATACATACAGTATAAGAAATACCAAATATGAATGCATGAAATGGCCAACTCCAGATATTCATTTGATGGTCATAAAATAAAATAAATAAATACCATGTACAATTTACAAGACCGAGCGTTAATAACATGGCATGATTGGAGCGACCAACAGCCATGGTTTAAACACATTTATTGCCCCAAACTTGAGCAGAGGTTTAGGCACAAGTTAAATCTACAGTGCATATTGATATTTATATGATAGCATTTAACAAGGCATACTATATTTTATATTATACATACTGTTATATATTTTATCTAAAACCTGTTGCTGGATTTGATGAAATGTCTGGATACATCTGTGTTGGTATCTACGGACAGATTTTCATTGCCAAATAAACATAAATTAACTGGATATAATTATATTCAACGAGATTATGTTTTGAAATAGCGTAATTCATGCTGCATTAAAAAGTTAACATTTTAAGAAAAAAATAACTAACATCCACAGAGGAATGTCTACAAGCACATGCTAGATTTTAAACAATTTTAACACGGAACAAATATTTTTTTAAAGAGCTGCACTGGTGCCTGAGTTTCGTATGTATTCATATTTAAATGGCGCTCACCAAACTTTTAATAAGATGAAGGAGCAAAATTGCAACACTAGATATAGAAGATTTGAAAGTATTTAAGATGGCAATGTTCTTATTGTATTGAATATAACGAATTCCAAAGACGTAAACTCGATGGCAGAAAAGAATAGTTGCTTGAGGAGCGTCTGAAAAGGAGGAATATTGTAATTATATTGGTTCCGGAAATTGTACCGACTGTTGAAACCCACTGTGTTTGGCAAAAGGGCCGATAAAAAGCTGGGGGTTAAAAGTTTTTTTGATTTTACATAAAGTATTCAACTTTCGTCCTTTTCTTCTCTCTGATAGTGTTTCTAAACCCGTTTCAAAATATAATGAAACATTACTTGTATACGAAGGCAGTCCTGTTATAACTCGAGCCGCTTCTCTTTGTGCTTTCTCTAATTTCTCAGATTCAAAAGCAGTGCAATCATCCCGTAATTCACAGACATATTCAAAACCTGGTAAAATGAATCAAGTACATCAGTAATATCATTAATACATATCAAAAAGAGAGGAGGCCCGAATATGGCAGCTTGAGGTACACCTGCGTCAAAATTACCTAGTTCCGATTATGAATTTCCAATTCAAACTTTCTGTTAGCGCTGAATTAGATAATGTTCGAGCCAATGCAATTATTCCTTTGAAATTCCGCATGAAGTATTGAAATACTTTGGTATCAGACCCCTGTGCAAAACACGATCAAACGCTTTTGATGTATCACAAAAATAATGCAAGTATTTCTTCTTTCTTCTAAAGCTTTACAAGTACATAAGTATAATAGTAAATTTTTCAATAAGTTGATAAACAGAAGAATGACGAGGCATTAAACCTGACTGGTACCGATAAAACAAGCGATTTTCAAAATATATGTATACAAGTGTTTGTAAACTACACGCTCAAACACTTTACCAACTGTAGATGGTAGGGATATAGGTCTATAATTACACGGCATATGACGATCACCCTTTTTGAAAAGCGGCATAACGGTTACAAGTTTCCATTTATTAGGATACACACACGAACTATGGATACACACACGTGCTATGGATACACACATGTGCTATGGATACACACACGAAGAAAGTGACATGTTACATGTAAAATGTATTTCAAGTGGTTTGCAGATAGAGTTAGCAGTATACTTCAGCACAGGATGACTAATCCAATCCCCTCCCGAAGCTTTCCCTAGCTTTAAAACTTGTAAAACATCTTTTATTTCTGAATGAGTTAACCGCTAAGATACAAAACGTGTATCTGTTTTGGATTCAATACATCAACATCATTAACACGAGTTATACTACAAAAAAAATAAGTTAACGGGCTTTATTGTCATCGTTCGAATA